CTGATACCCCTCAATTTCAATACAGCAATTTTAATATGTTATTATTTTGTAAATAATTGTTAAATTAATGATTGAAGTTATTTGTTTTGTTTACAAATATTTAAGGAATTATGTAAATGTAGCAAAAACAACAGATCAGAGTATCTTACATAAGATTCAATTAAAAGTCGTTGCTACGTAACATTATTACCATCGAAATGCACGGCCTTCATTTATTACCATTTTTACGTAATTATTGCGTAAGTTTTCATTTATATCATATAATAACTCTTTATATTGATTAAATATATATTAAGCAAGCAATTATCGTACTAAATTGTCTTTTAATTTAAACAGCTATGAATACTATGAACGTAAAATTCTCAGTTGTATACAATTTTGAATGTATATACAATAATTTTTAGAGACGTTAACTAGAATTTAATTGTAACTAGAGACTTCGATATTGAAAATAGGATTATGACTTTTTAAAATATCACGTCTATATATATCGATGTCTTGTTTCATATATTTTTACTCAAACATATTTTCATTTTCAATCTATTTTCACACAAATTATCTATAAATTGATAATCATATTTGTGATGGGTTGCGAGTAAAGAAAATAAAATAAACAAGTCAATAAAGCCTCTGGTGGTTGCAGAGTTGGGGAAAATGTAATCTAATTACAAAATCTAAATCACAATTACATTCAAGTTGTACTTGCAATTGTCATGCAGTTATATTGCAATTATATTGTAATTGTAATTTAGATTTTGTAATTAGATTACATTGTAATTGTAATTTAGATTTTGTAATTAAAGTACATGTTATCCAACTCTGGGTGGTTTGCAGGTGGGAAACAGCTGCAGTAGTAACAGTCGTTGATACGTCAGACAACTCAGGCAACTCTTGAGCTAATGTAGCTACTTCCTACCAGACCTGGGCACTTCTGAAATTATATTATTTGGAATATTACTTCAAATAGCATATTATTTTATTTCATAATTATTTCCATTCCTGTAATCACGTCTGAAATAATATTATTTGAAATATTATTTCAAATAACATATTTTATTTTCTAATCATTTGAAATAATTCTTAGAAATAATTATGAAATTGTTCGTCGAAATACTATTAGGTGACTAGGTCTAAGTAGGTCTTAGTAAAAAACTAAGAGTATATTATATGCAGATACTTATAATTAAAATGTATCATATAAGCTTCAATTGGTTGTTTTTTTTCTGCAAAAATATTTCTTCACATTCTCAAGCGCTAGTTCCCTTAATTGCATCCGACCCTTCAATTGATGTTGCAGGATTATTATTGAAGTAGAATGTAAAAATTAAACAGCTTAATTCTAATACAATTTTACTTAATACTTTAACGTAATCAGGATCGTATTGTATTTTTTGTACTTAGTTGCGTTGCGTATTGCTTTTGGCCCAAGTACTTATTTTTCATAACACAACATTTTACCAACTGACAAATGTTTTTTTTTACATATTTCACTAATTTCTGGTCGGTGGGGGGGGGGTGGGCCCACCCTGGCCCCTACCTAGTTACGCCAATGGGATGACAGTAATTCGTTAGGTGGCAGTAATAATTTCTATATTTTTTATGTTGTTTACTATTACCAGAATAAGTTTCAGCCGTAATCAAATGACGAAAGGGTATTGTAATTTTTTTACGACTTTAACACTCTAATGTCGCCAAACGCAGCGTGTCCAAACTGTCAGACTACGATTTTCTCATTTCTGATTAAGTTAACTAAACCCTCATAAATTTTCAGCTGTAATCAAATGACGTAAGAAAAAAGTTCACTGGCTCCTGGACTATAAATGGGTCTTTTACTCTAGTTATTTCTTATTTTCATTTCAAATATAAGTTGCCCAGATCTGCTACGCAGTGATATGGGGTCATGACACGCGCATATGCGCGCGCAGCACGCGGCTTACGCAAACATGGCGGATCGGTGGCGTCTCGTCGCGTCGTCGTAACGACGAATCTTACGTAATGTTTTCAATGAATTCGACGTATCGAAGACCAACGGATGGGAACGTGACGATCGATCGACCATTCTGTGACATTGATCGACGTTATTTCGCGACGCTTTTACTTATTACGCCTACGCACGGCCGCAACGCAATCCATTGTCCGTCTGGCCAGACGGGGGGTCCCCACGGGGGAGAGATTATGGGGACACTGGCCCCGCCGTGAACCTTCTGTCTGCTGCGTAATCGCTGAAAGGCCGCGCGAATCCTCTTGAATAATAAATCTTCGTCTTCTTTCTTCACGGTCCGCGGTTGGTGAAGCCATGACAGAACGAGAATTACACTGGTCAACACGATTTTTGTCCCGAAAAACGTTTATACTGATTTTTATAGATTTTCTTGTGCTGAATACGAATCCGTAAACAGTTTTTTTGCCATCACCCTCCGTTTTCGAGAAATTTGATTTAAAAAGAAATTTTTTGTAACTTTGAACATTTCTTGTGTTCAAACATTAATAGTTATTCAGTTTACAGAATAATTGGACGCAACAATCAACTGAATAACTATTAATGTTTGAACACAGGAAATGTTCAAAGTTGAAAATTTGCATTTTCTTTAAAAATAAAATTTCTCGAAAACTGAGGGTGGTGGCAATAAACTGTTTACGGATTCGTATTCAGCACAGAAGAATCTATAACAATCAGCAACTGGATGTTCGATGACAAACAAAAAGTTAAATTTTGTTGACCAGTGTTATTAGTGGAACCTCTCCTATAGGTACAGATGAATCAATTGAGGGACACGAATGGACAAATTTTTTTAAAATAAGAGGGACACCCGGGGGAGGTTTTCCCCTGATGGTGGACATTAGAAAATAAAATATTATTTTTTTATTTATCCGAGAAAAACACACAAGGTTGTTCTTAGATAAATAAACATTGGATTTTATTCTGCATTAATTACATGTTAACAACAATAGGGACCAACGTTAAAGCAACAAAATGACAAACATTATCGTAATTATTCGAATTGAATTAACACGCAACTTTGGTACATGATTTTATAGGAACGTTAAGTGGCATCTAACGCAAGACAGTTTCTAAATGTAGTTCACAACAATCACAAAATGTGTAATATATTATATATTATATATTATATATTTAATATGATTATCAGAACATTTGGAAATGTGCCGTTCAGAGATCAAGTGACCAATTCAAGTGTTTGATTTTTTCGACTTTTAGTATTACTTAAAATAAATTTCATTGATGATTCTTGTGGACTTAATTTGACTAATGAAAAGCTCAAGTATCGACACAAGCTTCGCGAGCCCATTCTGTGAGCATTGAATCCAATCTTCGTCCATTGATTTCAAAGCAAACTGCACAGATAGTTTCTTTATTTGTATTTTTTCAGGGTCAATGCTCTGGTTTCCTTTATTTTCTTGGGTCTACTTTCGTTTTTTCAAACTTATTTCCTAAGATTTTTTTCTGTTCACTAACTCTTTCGCGTTTCAATTATCGAACGTACAACTAATGCCCGATACCAGTGTCCTATTTTTAAAAAATGGTACTGAAACGTATCATAACTTGTGTTATTTGCAATTCTAATATTTGTTCCCTACTTTTCTAAACATTCCAGCTTTATACGAAAGTCTTTTTATGGTCACTGGTCGCGTTATGCATAATAAGTTTGTGGTTCGTACAGTACGAAGACCGTTGAATCGGGTCGTAAATCTACAGGAAGACCTCCTCCGTTCTTAGCAATTCACTATAAGTAAATGCTATTACAAAATGGTTGCAATCGATTACCTAATCCCTCTTTGTCGTAGATTTCAAAACTGGCCCAGAACTACAGAATAATTTTCAATAAATTAACTCCTGTCTCGTTCCTTTTTCAATTTCATTGCATTTCATTCCAACATGCTCCGACCCCCACTAACGTAGTCAATTGTTTTCCTCTCTTATGAAACTATAATATTACGCAAAAGAAATTACAGGACCCGATTGGAACCAAAATGGCGACGACCATACCATATCTTACTGTTTTCTTTAAATTGACAAATTAGTTTCACAGCAATATTCCGAGTGAATATATATCTCCTTACTTTGTTTCAATTTCGTGTCGATTCGATTCCCTTATTTTCAATTGATTTTATTATTACTAATTAATTCGATTCAATTCCTCGATGTACAGAGGTTAAAATCCTCCACCGAAGTCATACCTACTACAATTAATGTTACTCACGGAACTCTTTCACATTCAACTCCAAACAAGTCTCATCTATTACCAGAATACAGTAAATCTTCGATGAGTTTTCGAAGGCTTCTCAGCATTGACAAGGAGAGGTCCCCAGGTGTAACATTGACTTTTGAATCAGATTCAACACATTGATAGAACTCGAAATTCCGAAGCCAATGATATTTGTTTCAACTACATATGACCATTGATTTATAAAATATTTAACACTAGAACCACCAAACCCGTCAAAACGACGAATTTTAGACTTTTAATTTTACAATTGCTGAAACTCTAGAGATACTTTCATCGGAATCTACGTTAACCTCTAATTTCTTATGCACTTTATTTTATACTATACTAAGCTATATTGCATTATACAGGGTCTCAATATCTCGGAAATGAAGCTTTAGGTTACATAACGGTAATGGATTGTCCCATCTTTCTGAGACACCCTGTATATTACAAATTTTAATATATTGCACAATTTACCTTAGCATACATTCAATGCTGGTAGTTCTAGTGTGAATGTTCAGTGCCGAGGATCCTTCGAACACTCATCAAGGATTTACTGTAATTTCAACAAGATTCCCCAGTTATCGACCGAGACAATACTACCCCAGTAACTAAATCCAACACATCCACTTCCAGGAATAAAAAAAACAAAAAAACAAACCATTACCCAAACGATTCTTCGTAAAACATAGATTTTATTAAACATCAGTAACATCGATTAGTTGAGTAGGGCGAGGGGGGGGGGCGAAAGCGTGTAACAAATTAAAAACTACTTCACAAAATGGCGGCGGCAGCGGCGGGTGTGTAGCCAAGGGGGGCAGCGTACGCTAACGGGGACGAGTAGGTGGAGTAATAAGCAACTGGGTAGCTGTTGAAAGCCCTAGCATCGGGTACACCGATCAATCGTTGAGCTTTCACAGGGATCTGGACCGGAGCGGCGACAGCTCTGATTGGTGCTTCCTGGGCCTGTTGAAGCCTCTGCGGCTGTTCTTGGTTCTCCTTCATCTCCAGCCTCTGTTCAGTCCTCTGTGGCTGCTGACGTTGCTGCTGTTGGAACTGCAGCCTGGACTGTTGTTGGAGCTGCTGAAGCTGGCGGAGTTGTTGCTGTTGTTGTTCCAGTTGCTGCCTCTCGAGCTCTTTCAGCTGTTGGAGTTGCTGCTCTTGTTGCTGCCTGAGCTGCTCCTCCCTGCTGGGAGCGGCACGGAGCGGTCCAGACCTTGCTTCGACCACTTCGACGTCGGAGTCGGGTCCGTTGGCGGGTATCGACGGGGCTGGGCCAGCCGCGGCGGGTAGAATCGGTGCTGCGCCGACAGATGGCGCGATGGCCGGCGCGTAGGGCACTAACGGTGCAGCTAAAGCCGCCACAGCTGTGACCGGCTCACGGCTGACCACTGCGTTGAATCCGTTTATCGGGTCGGCGGTGTACTGGACGATTCGGCGGGTACCGTCCGCCTCGATCAAGCTGTAACTACCCTGCACGATGTCCCCGCTACGGGTTTCGTATTGGGCCTTCGAGTCACCGGTCACGGCGTCCTGTACGTCGTAAGCGAAACTGTACTGCGGCACAGTGTCCAGGTCCTCGAGCTTTGCCGGTACAGCCGCCACCAGGGGAGCCGCGACTGGTACCACCGCCGCCTTCGCGACGACCGCCAAGCTTAGGAGTACGATGAGCTGGAATTAGGAATGTTGTGGAATGTCGATTAGATGCAAGGCTTGCGTTGGAAGTACTGGAAGTACTGGCTGGAATTGGAGATGTAGGGAAGTGGTTAGGAATGAGGGTACTGTTGGAAGTACTAGATAATGGAGGGTGCTCAAGAAGGATATTGTTGTAAGTGCTACTGAGAGTACTGTTGGAAGCTTTCGGTGGAATTTGGATTATAATAAAATGGTTAATAATGAGGCTGCTATTGGAACTACAAGATTATAGAGGGTGCTTGCAAAGGGTATTACTGTTAGAACTATTACTGAGACTTGGGAGTACTGGAAGTACTGGCTGGTATTGAAGATGTAACAGTGAAATGACTAGAAATGGGGATACTATTAGAAGTACAGGATTATAGAGGGTGCTTGCGAAGGGTATTACTGTTAGAATTACTACTGGGACTACTGTTGGAAACACTGGAAGTGTTGGCTGGAATTTGGAATGTCGTATAATGTTGGTTAGAAATGAGGTTCCTGTTGAAATTACTGGCTGGAGTTAGAGATGTGGGGAAGTGATTAGCAATGAGACTACTGTTGGAAGTATTGGATTATAGATGGTGATAGAAAAGGGTATTATTGGTCAGAACTACTACTGGGACTACTGTTGGATACACTGGAAGTGCTGTCTAGAATTTAGAATGTTGTATAATGTCGTTCAGAAATGAGGCTACTTTTTTTTTTAAATTTTGAAAACAATGGTTTTTCTTAAAACAAAAATTTTAAAAAGACAGATTTCAAAATTTTGTTACAACAAGTTTATAGCGCTTATTATACCATTAAACTTCTATTGAAAACATGTTTCTCTATTTCTTGTATTTCAAGAGTTATACACGAAAATGTAGGAATGCCTTTGAGGTTAGTTTTCGCATCCTCAAAAGTCAATGGGGCAGGGACGAAACATACCATTATTCTTCTCTTAAATTACTCTAATAAATCCACAAAGTTTCATTCCAATCCGCGAGTGCAGCGTTCGCGGTGTTCCCCTCTGACTAATCCTAATAGCAATTGTTGCAGGTACAATATCTGGTCTCCAAAGCCAGAGCGTATTAAGTCACACATTTTAAACTTTAGAGGGTAGCAAATCAAATGTGCAAAAACCTTGTAACGTTGGAACCGTTTGGTAAGAACTCAACCAGAAACAATCATTACCTTTAAACGATTAAATGGACTTAAGACAAGTCTCGATACGTAGATATGGTAATCACTGTGTTAAGTCCCTTATCTGTCGAATCGAACACTGGTTAACCGGAAACAATATATAGACTTAATATCATTTTTACACTATTACATTAAAAACCAGACGACTTAGAACGAAATAATTTTTACCATGAAAAAGAGTGAAAAATTTGTAACGAGGACCATGTAAAATATCACTGTTGAAAAAAAGTGGACTTAATGCACTCCGACTCTGGGGTCCAGATATAGATCCTCAATCACGGACAGTCTCGAGCCAATTCAACGTTTTCCACACAACCGTTCCACCGTTTATACTTTGATTTTCACTGAACGGGTCAGATCGGACCCAGGCGATGCTGTATGAAGGTGAACACAGGTGGAATTGGACGCAGCACGGCTTACCTTTCCAGCCATGTTGATTTTGCGAGAGAGGATCGCCAGAGGACTGATGCCCCAGGGTAAGATTCCTCGTACTTTTATACGGTTGATGGCGTTTTCGGTGTCATCCGACAACAATAACCTATGGCCACTCCGTTGCACCCAAACCCCCTTGGCACCCGCGTTTGCGCCTCGCCTCCCACCCCCGATTCTTCCCTCCCGCCCCCTTCCTTTGTTCTGACCGCCGTCGTAGCGGTTCCTCTTTCGTGTTGCCATCACGATGACCTCCTCATAAAAACGGTTGCGATGGTACACGCGACACGGCGAGCCTATGAGTAGCTACGGTACATATGTTTCTTCATATCGCCGTGGAGACACGCGATCTGTATGCCAATACACGTCGATGATAGAAGTCAGCCTCGAGGCCGTTCGCGACGAAACCGCGCGCGACCTCCTGGGGGCCCGAAACCCTCCCCTGTTTGCCGAAACACCGCGTGGCGGCGTTGTTGCGCGATCGTTATCGATTAACATTTTCTGGTGCGATACCTTGACGACTGACCATCGTCAGACCTGGACACTTCTGGGATAATATTATTTGAAATATTATTTGAAATAACACGTTATTTTGTTTTCGAATCGTTTGAAATAATTCGTCGAAATATTGTTATCGATTAACATTTTCCGGTCGATACCTTGACAACTGACCACCCTCAGATCTGGACACTTCTGGAATGATATTATGTGAAATATTGTTTCAATGTATTGTTCAAAATATTGTTGAAAGGGTCAGTTTGTTTAAAATTGATCCACCTTGCGTTTCGATAGCGTGAAAATAGAGGTTGGGAAAGGAAACTATAGGACACGATGCGTATGTACATAGAATTCATTCCCTTTCGTAATTTCGGCGAATAACCTCGGTCGGCTTGCGTTCGACGTATCGGCATACAAATTATGCCGACCACTCACCATGTTCGAACTCCATTTGAATTTCGGAGGTCGCTGAATACACTTCGATGACGGCGAACGGACGCAAACCGCGATAATGACGAAATTACATACCGATTTTCATTGCCAATAAACAGAAAATCGTATGAGCTTCAGTCTGAATAATTATTTTATTGTGAACTTAATTATTCATTTTTTTTATCACAGTTGTTAATTTTGTAATCACAGAATTTTCAATAATATTGTCGTAAGGCAATTAACCCTTTCAGATCTGAATTTTCTTTTAAGAGTATAAACATATTTGATTATATATTTTAATTCAGTAGATTGTTTAGATGATAATATTTTGTTTAAAGAAAAGTTTGTTATTCAATTCCTAATTCATTAAATCTACTGAATGCGACCTGGACACTTCTGAAATGATATTGTTTCAAATATTATTTCAAATAACATGTTATTTTATTTCACAATTACTTCCATGTCTGCGATCACGTCTGAAATACACATTATTTGAAATATTATTTCAAACAGAGTTGGACAAAATGTAATCTAATTACAAAATCTAAATTACATTGTAATTACAAAGTACAGCTTTCAGAATGCATCAAAAAATTTATGATTTTAGAATTATTGTTCCAGTGCGAAATTCGGAGAAAGGAAACGAAACTCATTAGCATTCTTGGCTTACATAAATTTGAGAACTAAATTATATTTAGGATTAAAATCGTTCCACTGGTGTGAAAGATGGAAGAGGGGATTACTCTTCAAAAAAATGTCAATAAACCAAACTCAGATCTAGTCACCTGATATAATATCGAAGAACAATTTCACAATTATTTCGAAAAATTATATCAAATGATTAGAAAATAAAATAACATGTTATTTGACATCAGAGTTGGACAAAATGTAATCTAATTACAAAATCTAAATTACATTGGAATTAATAGTTAAATTTAGTATAGTAAATTTAGTATATTTTGGTTTATTGACATTTTTTTGAAGAGTAATCCCCTCTTCCATCTTTCACACCAGTGGAACGATTTTAATCCTAAATATAATTTAGTTCTTAAATTTATGTAAGCCAAAAATGCTAATGAGTTTCGTTTCCTTTCTCCGAATTTCGCACTGGAACAATAATTCTAAAATCATAAATTTTTTGATGCATTCTGAAAGCTTTCGGTATAATAATAAAATAGTGCAAAATATAATTGTTTAAATAAGTAGTAATGCAAATCTTGTAGATATTAGTGGATTAGTATATTTTGTTTATTATAATTATTACTTAGACAGCTTGTGCAGGCTGCCCAGCAAGCGTGCAAGTAGTATTATCATGTATATGTCAGACGCGTCGTGGAATTAACGTTACAGTATTACAACTTACAACACATATTCCATAAGTAGTGCAATTGAACAATAAATAGCATGACATATTTCAATTTATTCAGAAAATGATTAGAATAACGTGTTTTCAGATTTAAAGTAGCATAAGGAAATAATAACAAATTAATAATAGTGTAAAACATAAAAAAAATAATATTATAAATTTATCATAGTATAAGAAATAACATCAAATCATATAATTAATTTAAGCATAATGTATTTATACATTAATATTTAACTTTTTATTGCTTTTCGTATTTACTGTGAATTATGATACATCACATAGCAACTCCGATATGTTATTATGATAAATATATTAAGAACAACTTTGGTAGATTTGTCCAAATTTTTAATACAAAGAAGAAGGATTAAATATTATTTTTCTATACAACCGAGTAAATGAAATTGTTCCAGAAACTTAATTGTATGAAAATTATATTTATAAGTTAATATGTACTGTAATTAATACACACATAAAAAATTATGTTTGTTAAACTTTGTTTTGACCAGCACACTGTATATTATAGTAATTCTCGATTGAAATCTGAAAACCTATTTTTTAAGGTGAAAATTTAAGAAATTCCTTTACTTTCGATTTAGGCAACTATTTACGTGAATGGACAACTAATTTCTAATTCATCTCACTTCTGTTGTGAAAGGCTTACAGCGTTGGCCAGTATTTGTAGTCGATCCATCCTGCTTATTATACGTGACGTACGTGCAACAGATTGCATTAATTGCAATGGATTGTCTCCTATTAGAATGGAGTTTGAGCGATTCTATTGTCTTTTTATTTTATGATGTATTGTGGTCCATCCGCTAATTCAATATTCCGATATTTCGATATTTCAATAATTCGATATTTCGATACTTCGATACTTTGGTATATCAATAATTTGATACTACGATACTGCGATAATTCGATACTTCGTTATTTCGATATTTTGACATTTCTATACTTCGAAAATACGATATTTCGATAATTCGATAATTCAATATTTTAATATTTCGATATTTATACAATTTCATTACGTACATTAACGTATTCTTAAGACAAAATTGTTAAATCAAAACGAAAATTTGAGGTTCAAGGTGGTGTTAGGTCAATTATTATCAGGAAAAATGTTTTTTCTTTATTAAGTGTGCTCGAGACATGTGTTAGGACAGTTCACTTAAAAACCGTAGATGTTTTAATTACATTGAATTGTATTTTTATTAAAATTAAACGTATTATATTTATATTTGCTAACTTTATTTTCATTTTTTATGAAAGTATATTATATTTTTCATTATATTACCTTAAGGAGGTAGTAAAATAAGGTGATAAAAAACAACGAATGCATGGTAAAAAAGGTTTTAATTACGATATGTACAATACGATATGACTAGGTTCTACAAAAACAGCAGTAATAAAGAAAAGTATACGCAGTTTCGTTCTATGATGCACACCATTGAATTTGTCAAATATACCAGTAGTTAATCCAATATAATTTATCTTGTAATATTAATTTTTGTTGTTTTCAATAATCTGTCCATGTCCGTCGTTGTCGTCATTTGTAAGAAAAATGCGGGAAAGTATTTTGATTTTAACATAGTAATAGTGGATTACTACTTAATTGGTACATCTAACATTAACCGACACAATAACCACGATAATTCTAACAATTGTAGAAAGCAATGACATATCTTTTACAGCAATATACAGCATCATTAAAACGAATTAACAACGCCAATGTCCCACCGAAGCAGTTGCAATTGTATTTCACTGTCCATTAGTAACCAGTCAATAATATTACAAATATAAATTAAGAATCAACGTTAAAGCGAGCGATTGTCAGTAACGTCCAGTCAAATTTAATCAGTCGTTTAACACTTTCAGGTTCAAGGAGTCTCTACCTTACAAAACTTATCGTTATCGCCTACTATCTCCAAATTCTAATTCGAATAAACAACAAATACATCAATTTTGTCACAAAATTTCAAAGATACCGGTCTGTATTTTTTATAATCCTCCGAGCGTTTCAACAAGTGTTCCCTAGAGATCGTTGATCCCAAAAGGGTTAAGGTCACTCTGCAGGTGGGCGTAACCAGAACTGGATCGGGTGTCGAAACAATTTCACACTCAAACGTGAAAACTCTGACCCATTGTCTCCTATAACGTCGCGCGCATGAAAGTCCGTAAAAATAACTGGCGTTTAACGTGGCGTTAATTGATGATCGTGTCGACCAGTGTGAAACGTTTTATTAAGGAACGAACGTCAAGGGAGCGACCTTGACGGCTGGTTTGATGACAGCCACCGGTTCCCTGTGGACCACAGCGTTGAACCCGTTCACAGGGTCAGCCGTGTACTCGACGATCCTCCTCGTGCCGTCAGCTTCGATGAAGCTATAGCTGCCGCTAACAACGTCGCCGTTTCGGCTCTCGTGCTGGCTTTTCGAGTCCCCTGTTAACGTGTCTTGCACGTCATAAGCGTACGTGTACTGGGGGTGGGGGTCGTAATTCAGTCCAGGATCCACTGCAGCCAGTTTAGCTACTGGTGGTAACCCATGTAAAGGGACGACACCGCCACTGCAGACTGTGATTACAGCAATCGCCATCATGATGATCACTTTCTGGAATGTTAAATAATTTTTGTTAGAAGAATCGGGGGAAAATAATATAAGAATGTTAAATAATTTTCGTTAGAAGAATCGGGGGAAAATAATATAAGAAACAGGAGATTTTGTCTATTCTAGTGGTTCAGCTGTTGTCAACGTGGAACTTGGGAACAAGGATTAAGCTGCGTCTACACTATATAGCAAAAGAAAACAGTTGTTATGCTGTATAGTGTAGACGCAGCTTAAGGCGGTCTTCTCAGCGAGTCTAACAAAGTAACCAAAATTCTCAGTTTCTATTGAACAACACAAGATAAAGAACACAGATAGCACATGACGCCTTGAAGATGCCCATTTTACGGCTATTTTAGGTCTAAGGCGTTGTAAACTGTCTTGAAGGCGTCATTGGGCGTCATGTGGTATTTGGGAAAAGATTGTCAGTTCCTATTGAATATCCAAGTACTAGACACCTTTTCCACTCTCAGTTCCGGTTTACTTCATTTGACTTCTCCAATTATGAACGTATTCTATTGTTGTGTTTTAAAATTTCGTTTGTGTTAGTAAAAATGGAACCGATTTTTTTTGCAAAAGTGAATTGAAGTTGTGGAATAACCTATTTCCGCACGAGGCTTGGTTTCAGAAAGAATTTAACACACGTAACAATGTATTATATTATTTTAATTTTGTGCTAACTTAGGGTTGTCAAGCAAAATTCAACAAATATTGTTTTAACTTTAGGGTATCCGATTATTATCCGCCACTTTGTTTAAATTTCAATTCTAACAACATCACGATATCAAATTATCTACTATATTTGGGGACCTTGCGCTACCGAATTATCATCTACAATGGTATTTTGACTTTGCACGAAATATCATCCGCCATATTGTTTCTATTACGGAATTGTTAACCGTCATATATTGTTTCGCTGTGTCGCTACGAACTTATTATCCGTTTGGTATCAGAAAAAAATGTCTTGAAACTTTTCAAAACTGAAAAACTTTACATTACGATATAAAATAAATTTATATGGTACTTAATTAAATTTTTTTAAACGAACAACGCATTAAAATATCTTTATCGTCGAGCGTTTTTTCTCACCTGGACAGCCATGCTGATTACGTTTCGCAGTGGATCTTATCGTCGAAAGTCGAGAAATGAAACTGACTGTTCGATTTCGAGTGACAAACGTATTTATAGGAACCATAGGCTGATCATTCGTTGTACGTGAACCGATGCTCGTCACAGCCCCCGATGCATCGCAAACAGTTTTTCGAAGCCGCGTACGTGACCCGCTTCCGTTCGCTGCGCGGTGGCAAAAGTTTCGCTCTCGTTCGAAGAATTTTCTAACGAACGTCGGCTCATTCACGGGAACAAATAGAGAAATGATTGTCGGGTAATGATTTCCATAATTACGATTCTATAACGTCATTAATTTTAGTCATTTTTGCACGTGGCTCGTGGTGGGTTAGACTTCTGACAAAATTGTCACAATGTAACGATAAACAATTGGGAATGATCGTCGTTTCGTTATCAGGTATATTTTACAGAAAGAAATCTGTAGTCTTTACAGAAAATAAGCTTAAAAACGCAAATTCAGCTTCGTTCCTGTAATGCTCAAACCAGTTTCTATGAAAGATCCGCAGAGTTTAAAGTCCCTTCGTTAACCCAACGAAAACTGTAGAGACGAAGATCAATCACTACACTTAATTTTTAATATAAATTACTCAAAATTATTCTGTTTAATGTTTTACTATAATTATTAAGTATCAACCCCGGACGAAAAAAAAACTAACTATACATCAGCTACCAAGACATTGATAAAACGTAACTATACGATTTTTTGTATAACCTGTGTAATAATTACAAATTTTAATGTCAAAAAAATGAAAAATATCACCGATTTTTTAATCCAAGGTATCTTTATGGTTTTCAAATTTCAAAATTACTGTACTCTAACTACTCCTGGCAATGCACTACTTGTATAATAATTATAAGATTTTTGCACACAAATTGCAAATTTAATACCAAAAGAATGAAGAATTTCGATATTTCTCAGAAAAATATCATTAACCTTTTAATCCACCGCGTTTCCATCGCTCTCCTTAAATCCATTATTGCGATACCCTATAATTGTTTCTACTAGTATTTACCCACCGACACCTGTCTCACTTTCGTCAGAAATGTATCAAGTTTTGTCAAAGAAACTAGTTTGCTGTATAATAAACTCGTAAAAGATGCAAAGCACGCATAATATAGAATTCCCCCAAAATGAAATTTAAAAAGTAGGAAGAGTGAATCTCTTCATTGGAAGGGCGGACACTCATGTAATCTCATTTGTGATTGTTCCTCAGGGAAAAAAGGAGCGAGCGTTACGAAATGTAAACTATCAAGAAAAACAAGATAAAATCGGTCAATATTTCTTCTAGCTTACCACTGTTGTGCTTTCACTGTTGTGTAATTCGGCGCGGTTTAGTTCCAGCCGTAAGTGTAACGTTTCCGTCATGCGAGCACGCATCGTGGCGAATACTAATCGAGAATCCTTGGGACCGATCGTTCCGGAATGCTTACATTTCGCTTTCAAATTTGGAATTCCATGTCTGATTTTTAGTTTCTTCCTCTGATTGCCAATTTTATTAGGCTTTTGCGTATGAAATTGCAATTTTTACTGGTTGTCATAACTAGGTTATACTTGCATGTACGAAAACACGTAAAACATTTTATATCTAAAATAATTAACTTCCCCCCAACCTCCTTGCATTTTGAACAGTAATTCTTTTCGTTCAAAATCTTTTTCATCTGAAAATAATATACCACCTTTTTCTTATTGAGTGACAATGATTTTAGAAAACCATTTTTAGGCAGAACAATTACTGTATAGAACGTAAAGTAGACTGAATTTTTTAAACAATAAAATCTAATACTGATTAAAATAATAAATAACGAAATTTAGAAATCATGTATGCTATATGTAAATATACTACGATTTCTAAATTTTATTTTGAAAGTGATAATCTATTATAATTTACACTCACCTTAATATCCACAATTCACAGTCTAAATAATAACAAATTTGCGATTAGAAATAATGAAGAATATGATTAAGAAAATGTTTGAGCATACATATTTTATTAATAACAAATTTCAAACAGCTCCATTTCACTTTTATTCAGTCCATACAATAAGGATACACAATATACAAAGATATGCGTAAAAATTTGTTCCTTTATATTCTAGAATGGTACTTATTTTTCAATAAAGTTCTAACTTCACAATTTACGACCAGAGTTTTAAAAAAATGCTATCTTCATAAAAATAATATAAGTAACTTAAAAATTATTCAAATATAGGAAGTTATGTTTACAGTGTGCTTATGTAATAAGCTTATTTACGTTCATATATCACATTCCTTTGTATTATTTGTTAGTTAATAAAATGAATTTTCACTGGAAACTGGAAACAACTCATAAGTGATAATTTTACTATTTACAACTTATTTTAATTTATGTAGATCTACATATTGCTTTTAACAGCTAACAAAGTCAAAAAACATATGGTTTCACGAATGTCGTTTTTATATGTATATCACAAATACTGGATAATGTAATACTGTTACGGCCATGTAATCTTCTGTCTTTTTTTTGATGGAGAGTCCTAAAATGTATAATCGTTTTTCAATTAATTACAATTAAATCACAATATACATATATATCAATTCGCTCGAATTTTTTCGTTAATTGATATTATTTATACAGTGTGTAAAAAAAGTATGCGCACTATTCTAAAATAAATTTATAGGATTTTAGATTATACAGTATTACAAGTATTGGAATATATAAATAATAAATCCTACCAATGCGTATTTTTTCCCTTCAATAATTTTATTATAAATGAATTGAGTGTGCAAATACTTCTCATATTCAACCTATATAAATTTTGTAAATAACAAATATACATACATCATGTGTCCCATCATTAACACGTTTATCAACACCATTGTAATTTTTAAAACTATATAAACTGCATGAATGTATTTTCTTGGGTGTGTGTTGAAGGTCATTCACAGGAGTCTTCGGTCTTGGACAAGAGGTTTGATATATTTTTGTTCCATTTACATTTCTTTGTGTATTATTTTTACCATTCCTATAATAAATTTTTACTTCATAGTTCTATTTATACTCTGTCTTATGAAAAAGAAACTTTCAGGAAAAAAGTAAATTTAAAGTGAAATTTTTATGAACGTGAAAAGAATATACATATGTTGCTTAATAAACTTACAAATTCTTCATGATATTTAGAGACTTTAAAGGCAGATTTGATAAAACATGATGGTATGCACAATGTATCTTACTAATGCTTCTGATGCACATAATATTTTATCAATGATTTGTTTACCCAATATTGAATCAATGAAAAAATGTTTTCCATATATTAAAACTTTTTAATAAACAAAACATCTTAAATTTAATAGCACATAATATCCCAATCTTTCTAAATGACAACAAATATGTTTACTTACAAGGAAAGTATATCTTTTTTACAATTATCTGCTGAATCTTTTTTCTCTTCTTCATTAGTCTTCTTTGTATCTAAATCTTGAGAGTTTTCACTTCCTCTTCTAGGTAATGGCATTGCTACTCGTTTATATAATTCTATTAATTGAGGTCTGGATAAATGTTTGTAATTAGTGAAGTCGATGCAACTCTGAATAAATTAAGAAAATATGTGTTTAATTACAATATACATCAATCAATATTAACTAAATGGAAAAATATATAATAAATATAATTTGTTTTCAAGAGCATTCGCCTGATAAATCTGTAATAATGAATCAGTTGTTGATTATACAAAGCAAAATTTCAGATTAAAAGAAACATAGTAAAGTACTAAAAAATTTCAGAATTATTGTCTATAAAATCAATGGCCAGATAATTAGCATTCTACAGTGTTCCATGATTCGTAACAAGACATACAATATTTAACTTTATGTTTAACGAAGCTTTCTATACTTCATCAAACAAATTCACAGTGAATAAACGACAGTTTAATTCATAGAAAATAAATTTACAAACAGTTCCCACAAAAACATAACCTTATTCACTTACATTTTCTAAAATTTCCCGAAGTTCAGGATCTGACAGTACTTCGGGATGAGTTAAATGAAACATGTCTAGCGTCGACATTTTTTTAACGTTTAACTTTTCACCGTTAAAATATTATGAATACTATACAATAGCCGTTAGCGTGTATTATCTCATGAAGTATTATCTTCGCAACATCGTTTATACCAATCTATATACATAAATAGACGCAATTTATGTAGTTGCAAATGTCCATTGTGTACATGACAGTATAAAAATTACATATCTTAACAGTGAAATGTACGGTATAACCACAGTAATGCCGAAACATTTGTTGTATATGCTTATACGTATATAAGAAAGTTAGCAAATGTAAACAGTAATACACGTTTCTACTGGTGGGAGAAGTGTGGCTTACTTCATGTTTCCTGTTTTCAAAAAATGGTAATGCAGTTTTAATAACTTTCGAATGTTTAAAGTTTTTAATATAATTTAAAATTTCTTACTGTTAATCTGTAGTTAAACATTATCAATAACATTTATAATCAATAACCAAACTTGTATGCACCAACTTATTTCAATTGCTCCTTGTTAATAAGTTGTTATTAAGTTATCTGATCATTGAATATTATAAAACAGATCAGGAGCAATTTTTTGGTACCATAATCACCGACTAGGTATAGAATAGACCTATCATCCAATGCTTTTTTCTGTCCCACGTTCATCCAATGCTTTTTTCTGTCCCACGTTCATAGGGCTACGTAGCCCTGTTACCATTTTAGTGTCAATATCCGACGTTACCGATAAAGCATGAATTCTGAGTATTATTAGCACAAATGAAGTGTTATATATTCCATTCATATTACGTGTATCTATATGATTTCACGAGAATAAAAATATCCGATGCTTCAGTTTAAGGTTAAGGGATAAATATGACAGTCATGAAACATAATGGACATTTTTATTAATGTTACTTTTTACATGTTCTTGTTTTATTCGTTTTTATATCTTGCCTTACATTTGTATATTTGTAACAGATAAATTCAGAATAGATGTAGTTTCATAAATAGTTTATCAAATCTACATGTGGGAGAATATATACACCGCTTTCATTAACATCTACATATTTATAATTTATATGGGAGTGTGAATAGTTTTACTGCCTATTGTAAGAATTTTAATACGCACGAACAATTACTTTCTGGCAATTGGTAAATTTTTACATATGAATTTACTTACACGTTATTTACTTACAAAAATTTTATTTATTGCGAGTAATTAAATAATGAACGTATGTTAATATTCAGCTACGTGTCTCTCAAATTAAGTGAAATACAGAAGTTTTATTTTCTTGAAAATTAGTGTCAAAGAATGCAGCAACTGGTCAGATTAGTTTCGTAAATAAATCGAAACCCTGTATCGGCACATTGTTTTTTATGCTATCAAATATCACACGGAATCTTTTAGGAAGTAGTAAAATCTTTTACACAAATTCAATGAAATACTTTCAGGTACCCAGTTTAGGGCTATGAAATTAGAATGTTCAAGAAGAGGTAAAAAAGTTTCATATTTGCAATTATTTTGTGAAATGAATAATAAATAAGGGTCTTAGGGATTTATACTGGAGAGCTAAATCTTTAAAAGGAACATGTCGCTTAAACAAATTAGTTAAATATGATATTTATTTGGGGAATATGAACATCATAAATAAACGAGAGCAGTAGAACGAGTTGCGGTATCGGTGCTCTCCGTCGGTGTCGACGCGTACCGAACGAGGCCGAAGATGGTCGGAGCGGGCGAAAGGGAGAGAGCGAGCCGCGGTATCGGTGCTCTCCGTCGGTCCAACGCACTAGTGACGTTGCGTCACACAGTTTATTGACCTAGCCGTGTACGCCGTGTACCATAGCCGTACTGGCTGTACCATCCGGTGTTTGGGTCGTTCAAGGAAGGTCGTTCAAGCCAGCAAAAACAATTCAACAGGAACAAACCTGCGTACGCCCAATACATAACGGCGTTAGCTTCCTCACTTTCTCGTGAGCCGT